CCAAATGAACTGATGTTAAGAGATCACACATTACTGTCAAAGAAACTAAATAACCCACCAGTCAGCTCTCCAAGCAAGAACACTCAATCTTTCCATATATACCCCTCCGAAAATTGCTTTGCTTAACAATAGAGGTGGAGGAGGTTAGACGGTTGTCGAGTCCGATGAGAAGGTTTGGAGAGACAACGATGGTTGATCGTTCAGTACGTAGGTCGGGACACCATTTAGACCTAGTTACATTAGTTGCGGCTTTTCAATCCGCATTCGACAAACCAACATCACTTAACCTTTCCATATTTACCCCTCTCTTAAAGACACATGTGCCACATATTCACTCAAAAATTCTATGTTCAAAAATATTGTTGCTTTTTGGTAGTTATATTATTTAAGTCTGATGTGCAATATTTGCACCAATGACATTAGGCTTGCGATTTTAAAATTATTCTCCTTTTATAAGATAAAGAGAAATAGAATTAATTGTTAAACTCGAATTAAAATAATCAAAGTATGAAAATAGAAGTATCAAATACCAAAAAATATTTAGGGGAGAGTTAGTGGCTTAGCTAACTTGATGTAAAATTCCAATGATTTTTTAGATTTAAGCTTCCTGTATGTTTTTAATTAAAAAAAAAGTTTAAACAAATTTATTTAGTGTAACTGGTTATGTTTCTTGTCTTTTCTCAAAGAGACAAAATTCAAATCCGATCACTTATGTATTTTTTTTTGTGAATAAGAAAATAATAAATGACTGTGAAGACGAATCTACCCTTCCTACTTTTGCTATGGATGCAGAGATTTTGTAATGGAGGAAGCACATTTCCCATTTCACTCTTATATCAGGTGTAGCGAAAGTAACCTGGTGGTTGAGTGTTTAGTGGGTCGGAAACTATTTGGGCCTGTTTACATTAGTAGCACATTTTCCATTTGCGTTGGGCAAACCAACAACACTCAATCTTTCCATATTTACCCCTCCAAAAATTGCTTTGGCTTAACAATAGAGGTAGAGGAGGTTAGCCGGTTGTTGAGTCTCATGAGAAGTTTGGAGAGACGGCGATGGTTGAGCGTTTAGTGGGTCGGGGTACTATTTGGACCCGTTTACATTAGTAGTGTCTTTCCATCCGCGTTTGGCAAACCAACATCACTCAACCTTTCCATATTTACCCCTATCTTAAAGACGCATGTGCCACATATTCACTCAAAAGTTATGTGTTTAAAAATATCGTTACTTTATGATAGTTATAACAATTAAGTCTATGTTAAGAATTCTACATCGCTTCTACACATTCAAGACTGCAATTCAATATATGCAATATTTGAATCAATGACATTTCGGTTGCTAACCGTGGTGGAAAAGTCTTATATTTTTCAGATTTAAGCTTCTGTATGTTTTTATTTGAAAAATATCACACAAATGTGTTTATTGTAACTGATTATATTTCTTATCTTTTTTCGAAGAGACCATGGTTCAAATCTCATTACGGATGTATTTTTTCTGTAAATAAGAAAATAATAAGTGATTGTGAAGACGAATCTACCCTTCCTACTTTCACTCTGGATGCAGGAAATTTGAAATGGGGCTTCAAATTTTCTCATTTGGCTTTTATTTATTGCGTAGATAGATGAGTAACTAAATCTAGACCTTTAGATCTAAATGAGTTCAGAAAATTCATATCTAAGAATCGTCAATTAAAAGTATTTTATTTTTCCTAGTTTTCTTAATCGGCTCTTATCTTCTTCTTTCTAATTCGGATTTCAAATTTTTTTTTTTTGCACAGATGAAACGAGTTCGTTGTGCTCTACAAAATGAGAACAATTTTTAATATATTTCGAGAAACTTTTTTTTTACCAACTACATACCATATGGTAACTTCTTCGGTTTTAAGTCGTTTTTGAAAACGTTTGCTCAAAATGAACGAGTTCATCATGATCTATTGGATCTATAAATTTCTGGGTGAAAAAAAAATACTGGATGAAAAATTATCATACTTTACCACTATGGTATGTGGGTGGTAACTTGTAGTAACTTGTAGTAAACAATGATGAAAGTCGTATATGACAGTTATTATACTCCTACTATTATATATTCAACCTTCTTACCATATTGGATGTTCATGTCATCATATTACGCTTTCTTACCATATGGTATTAAATAGGAGCATACCATATGGTAATGATTGGTAAAAAATTGTTCAATTTTTTTTGTACTAAAAATATATCAAAGTGGATATCATTTTAAAGAGCACATTTAATCTGATTTATCTGTGCAAAAATAAAATAAAATTTCGACTTAAAATGAGAGAGAAATTATCTGTTAAATATTAAAGGGGAAAAAATGGGATTAGGAATTAGAAGATAAATAGAGTGTTAGGGATTGAGAATGAGAATTGAGAAAGATTAAGAGGGAAGAACAGAGGAAGAGAAGAGAGAGAAATTGGTCGCCGACTGGGCAGTCGAGGAAGAGAGGGGTTTAAAGCAGCACAAGAGAGAAAGAGAATCAAGATTTAGGTAATTGATCTGTATATTTTGTTTAATGAATCCAAACCATAATTACAGAATATATAGACATACCAAATTCTCTCAAACTACCCATAATTGAACCTAATTATTCAAATATCAAATAACTTCCCGAATACCCCCCAAACATCTCAAAACAAACAATGATCCAATTCAATCCAAAACAGATAAAAACCAAGTATCTTTCAAGTTTGTTCTTGCAATGTGGTTTCTCTGCTGAACGGTTGAAAATAAGTATGTAATTGGTCAAGTAAGTGTGTAGTACTCATGGAATTTGAGGAACATCTTGTTTGGGATGTCCATAAATATGCAGTGAAAAAACCAGGTGCCAAAGCTGGAAGATGGCAACAGATTTCATTGGGCCCCAAGAAAGGAGTCTGAAGTAGTGGCCAAGAGGATTAAGAACATACTAGAGTTGGATGAAGCTGAAAATGAAGCTTTGAGGTCAGATTGCAGTAGGTTGTAGTTGTAGCTAGTAGTTAATGTGTACCTTCTAAGGATTAGTGTTCCAAAGTATTTGGATTAGTTAATAAGTTATTTCACCTTACAAATATCACACAATTAATTAACCCATCCAAACCATACCACAGTTTGGGTCTTTGTCAAATTTTCATCTGATCTCAACTTGAGCTAAATAAAATTTTGATTGCCCGTAAAAAAAAAAAAAAAAGAAATTACCAAATTATTGCAACAATAAACCTTTTGGATTTGTCAAAAATGCCATTTTTGGAAGTGACATTTTGTTGCACAAACTTGTATGTAATGACTAATGACATTTGCGGCATTATGTGTTGGTTACTGGTGAATTAGTTGTCAAAAACACTACATACGATCGATGTTCAAGTCCAGCAGTAAAGTAAACACTGCACGCAAGGGATGATGCAAATGCAAGGTGCCCAGTAAACGTTTCTAGCTTAGCCTTTAATCAATAGCAATTCATCATCATTATTCCAAACCTAAATGAAGGTCATAGGGCCGCAATTTCCAAGAGTAAAAGGTACCATCATTCATGAAAAAATGGGAATGTTTTCTTCAGCTCCTTCACCAAAATAACCAGTCTTCTTTCGACAGTTCTGTGTACAATTCACTCATTCAATTGATCCGCAGAGTATGCGGAAAATCATGTAACAAGAAACTGATAAAAATTAATCTTCAACCACGTACCCGGAAAAATTCTTTCAGTATATCAATCGAACTTTTTGAAATGAGGCTCACGAGCTCAATTCGCTTTAATCGGGTGGACATGAGACCGAATACCCATTGATTAAGCGTGTAAAACCCCGGTCAAATGACTAATTGTGATAGATAAGCAAAGGGCAATCACCAAAGTGTGAAAACCCATATGCAAGGGCGAGATAAAAAAAGGTAAAACAACCATAATCGTGATCGATAAGCGAAGGAAAGAATAATCAATAGATCATTAGGGAACGAAAAACGTATTTATCACCAAGTACAAAAACCTTGTTCGAGTACCCATTGATTTAAGCGTGTAAAACTCGTTGTCGACCCAAAATTCGTAAAAACCGGGTTAAACTCGCTTTAGCCTTGGTCGATTTAAGCGTGTAAAACTCGTTGTCGACCCAAAATTCGTAAATATCGCGGTCAACTCGCTTTAACGGGGTCGAATATGCATTCGTTTGGGTTCAATTGTCATAAGTTAATTAATTAGAATCTTAACGACACAAAAACTCATCGCTTCGGTCTTTGGTTAATTACAAAATGATCACCCCTTGTGATGTGACTCTATGAAATACTAACTTTGAAAGAGTTAAAATTAATGATACATCTTGTTGTAGCTAAGCCAACCACCCGGTGACAGTCACAGTACTAGTAGTAGAATCACTATACATGGCTTCCTCCATCCGTAAGGTAATTGTTATCAAGCCAGAACTTACTACTGTAACTAAAAAGAACATCTACTTAACCTAGAGTTTCGCGCTGAGATTGTGAAGCTCTTTCATGACAGGATGTGGGCCTCTCCGCTTCCCGTCCTCCTCCTTCGTCTTGTGCATCAGCTGTTGGAAATAAATTAATTATTTCCTTGCTTTAGTTGGTGGGCACTTTTATTGGGAGGAGACTTTTGGGTTTATACATTTGGAAATGGTGGCTGGCGAACTTTGGAGGAATGGAGGATGAGATTGGCAGAGGAAATTTTAGATGGGAATGGGAACTTTGGAAACTTTTATTGATTTCTTTCTTTTGCTTATTTCTTGGCTCTTGCTTCTCTACACTACACACCATTTCCAACGAAGTACATGGCTATTTATAGTCTCCACATTTGCAAAATATCCAAGCAACCGACTTAAGTTTCTGGTGCTTATTTTTTTTGCTTTGTTTAATCCAACAATCATGCAACTAACTTATTAATTTCAAACCTAACCACTTCTGGACTTTTCTAGCAAACTACCACAACTTGGTTCTGTAGGACATTCTGATATTTTTGCTTTGATAGTTTCAATTAAACTTTATTCACTCCCCCTTAAAGTTTAATTAGTCGTAACTCTGAGTAGCGTCCTCGGTTTGACGAACACATCTTGCTTCAGCGGCTTCGTGAAAATATCAGCAATTTGGTCTTCAGTCTTCACATATTTTAACGCCACTTCTTTCTGCTCCACACATTCTCTCAGAAAATGATATCTTGTATCAATATGCTTACTACGATCATGAAACACCGGATTCTTTGCTAACGCCAGGGTAGACTTGTTATCCACAAAAATTTCAGTTGACTCTTCCTGTGTCATGTTCAACTCCTTCAGCAACTTTCTCATCCATATAGCATGACACGCACACGATGTCGGAGCAACATACTCAGCTTCACAAGTTGATAGAGTCACTATAGCTTGCTTCTTTGAACTCCATGTGAAAGCTGTATCTCCCAGGAAAAATACGAATCCTGTAGTTCTCTTGCGATCATCCATGTCTCCTGCCCAATCACTGTCGCAGTATCCAACCAATTTGAAAATTTCTGACTTGGTATAAAGTAGACCATGATCGATTGTACCTTTAATGTAGCGCAGTATCCTCTTTGCAGCATTCCAGTGTGACATTGCCGGTGCCTCCATGTATCTGCTGACTAATCCAACTGCGTAGAGAATATCTGGTCTGGTACAAGTCAGGTATCTCAGACTTCCCACAAGACTTCTAAACTCTGTTAAGTTGACCTTCTCTCCTTTATCATCCTTGGATAACTTTAGTCCGCACTCTGCTGGTGTGCTTACAGGATTACAATTCTCCATCTTAAACTTCTTTAGGACTTCCTTGGCAAAACCACTCTGTGAGATGAAAATTCCTTCCTCCTTTTGATTTACTTCAATTCCGAGATAATATGACATTAATCCGATGTCTGTCATCTCGAACTCACGAACCATCGTCTTCTTGAACTCTTCAAACATTTGAGGATCGTTGCCTGTGAAGACAAGATCATCTACATATAGGCAAACCATCAAGATTGCTCCCCTTGCACCTTGCAGTATAGTGCATGCTCATGTGGGCATTTGCTGAACCCATTTTGCTGAAATTACTTGTCAATCCTGCTATTCCAAGCTCTCGGTGCTTGTTTCAGACCATACCATGCCTTCTTCAGCTTCAACACCTTATCTTCTTGACCTTCGACGATATATCCAGGTGGTTGCTCCACATAGATATCTTCCTCGAGATATCCATTCAAAAAAGCTGACTTCACATCCATTTGATGTATCTTCCATCCATTTTGAGCAGCGAGAGATATCACCATCCTGATACTATCCATTCTCGCCACGGGAGCAAAAACTTCATTATAGTCAATGCCTGGTCTCTAACTATATCCTTTCACCACCAATCTTGCTTTGTGTCTCACGACTTCTCCTTTAGCATTTTTCTTGGCTTGAATACCCACTTCACAACGATTGGCTTCTGGTTCTTAGGAAGTGACACAAGCTCCCAAGTCTTGTTCTTCTCAATTGCTCCAATTTCTTCATCCATAGCTCTCTTCCATTTTTCATCCTTCATGGCTTCTTCAACATCCACTGGTTCACTATCAATGAAATGACAGTAGAGTGTCAATTCATCACCTTCAATGGTTGTCGTTTCCTCATAAATTTCTTCAAGTCTTCTATACTTCTGTGGCCTTTCTCGGGGACTTACACTCGATTCTTCTTCTGGGCTGGCAGGCTCTCTGTGACTGGGTGGACTTGTCACATGTGTAGCTGTATCTGGTTCATCATCACTTTCATCCATAGTTAATAGATAAAAAGTATAACTCTTCTTTGCTTCAATAGTCCAGTCCCATGTTGCTTCTTCATCAACTACTACGTCTCTGCTGATGATCAACTTCTCTTCCACGGGATCAAACATTTTATAACCTTTTGAGTGTTCGGAGTATCCCAGGATATGTACTTCTTGCTTTTGTCATCCAACTTCTTCCTTTCTTGATCCGGTACATGCACATATCCAACACTTCCGAAGACTCGGAGGTGAGAGATTGTGGGTTTCCTTCCGCTCCATGCTTCTTGGGGTGTTTGATTCCAAACACTCTTTGTCGGTGACCTGTTCAGTAGGTAGACTGCACAATCAACAGCTTCAGCCCATAGTTCCTTTGGCAGGTTCTTGCTCTTCATCATGCTTCTCGCCATGTTGAGGACAGTTCTGTTTTTCCTCTCAACGACTCCATTCTGCTGTGGTGATCTTGGGACTGTGAGAAACCTGTGGATTCCTTGATATTCACAGAACCTTCTGAACTTCTTTAGCATAAATTCTCCACCTCTATCTGATCTCATTGCTTTGATGTAGCGGCCACTTTCATTCTCCACCATCATCTTGAACTTCTTGAAAGCTTCAAATGTATCTGACTTCTGCTTTAAGAAGTATACCCATGTCTTTCTACTGTAGTCATCAATGAACAATAGGAAGTATTTGTTCTTGCCAAATGATGTTGGAGTGATCGGACCGCAGAGATCTGCATGGACAAGCTCAAGTGGTGCTTTAGCTCGTGACAGGGACTCCTTCGGGAAACTTGCCCTAAATTGCTTCCCAACTAAGCAACCTTCACACAATTGGTCTGGATGATTGATCACTGGCATACCATGCACCATCTTCTTCTGACCGAGCAATTTCAGACCTCCAAAATTTAGATGGCCATACCTCAGATGCCATAGCCATGTATTGTCCTTCACACACGCTTTCAAGCACTTCGCCATTTCTGTCTGAATATTCAGCGTGGACATTCTGTTTCTCGACATTGGGACTGTGGCCGACAACTGCCTCTTCTCATTTAATAGCTCCAGTTGACGATACATCATGTGGACTTCATAATTCTTCTCCATCAATTGACCCAAAGTTAGGATGTTACTAGTCATGTCTGGGACATAGTACACATCACTGATAAATTGTTGTGAGCCATTCTTGAGCCGGATGAGTATAGTTCCTCTGCCTTTGATAGGAACCTTCGAGGAGTCTCCAAATACGACATTTCCTTTCACCGATTCATCCATATCCACGAACATTTTTCTTTTACCGCACATGTGGTTACTTGCTGCGTTATGCAGGTACCACATGTTATCTTTCGGTTTTTCTTCTCCTTGATGTGACAGCATCAATGTGCCTTTGATTTCTTCTTCTTGCACGTTGTTTGCTGCCTCCTCCACTTCTTTAGGAGGACTCCAACATTCCGATGCATAATGCCCGTACTTCGAGCAATTATAGCACTGGACGTTGGATTTATCACAACCTTCATTTGATCTCCAACTTCCTCTTCCACGTCCACGACCTCTGCCTCTGGTGGACGTTTCATAATTATTCGTGTTGAAATTTCCTCCATCTCTGCTTTGATATGCTCCTCGGGCTCTTCCTCTTTCTCTGCCTCTGTAGTTGCCTCTGCCTCGACCTCTGTACTGACCTCCTCCACGGGCACCTTCTTTCTCCTCAGTGGTAGCTTTTGTAGCTAACACTTGTTCTGATGATTATTCATTTATGTTATTTATTCTTTCTTCTCTGGCTTGTAATGAACCGATGACTTCATCAACCGTCATTTTTGACACGTCCTTAGCTTCCTCCATGGACACCACCACATAGTCAAACTTTGGTAATAATGACCGTAGAATTTTCTCCACCACTTTGGTCTCTTCAAATTTCTCCCCATACTGCTTCACTTTGCTGACGATTGACTTCACACGGGCGGTGTAATCGGAAACAGATTCACCTTCCTTCATTTTAATAGCTTCAAAATCCCCCCTTAGTGTCTGAAGTCAAACCTTCTTTACTGGTTATACGCCTTGCATTTCCTTTTGCAGAATCTCCCATGCTTCCTTTGCTGTGGCAGCATCTGCTATTTGATCGAACATCGATTCATCAAGACAATGATGAATGGGAGTGAGTGCTTTCTGATCACTCTTTCGATTCTTTCTCAACACCTCCTTTTCAGCAGGAGATAACCGAGAATCCTCTACGGGAATCTCGTAGCCTTTTTCGACAATATCCCAAGCATCTTGGGATCCAAGCAAGGCTTTTATACGAATGCACCAATTTTTGTAATTGGTTTTGGTAAGGTGGGGAAATTGAATGGGGAAAGTAGATTTTTCGGCCATGGGACAATCGTGATAACAAAAACCACGAGAAATTCTTTCTTATGTGGAAGTTTAGACTACGCTGCAACCACAGAGCATACTCAGAAATAACTCGGGCTCTGATACCACTTTGTTGGAAATAAATTAATTATTTCCTTGCTTTAGTTGGCGGGCACTTTTATTGGGAGGAGACTTTTGGGTTTATACATTTGGAAATGGTGGCTGGCGAACTATGGAGGAATGGAGGATGAGATTGGCAGAGGAAATTTTAGATGGGAATGGGAACTTTGGAAACTTTTTATTGATTTCTTTCTTTTGCTTATTTCTTGGCTCTTGCTTCTCTACACTACACACCATTTCCAACGAAGTACATGGCTATTTATAGTCTCCACATTTGCAAAATATCCAAGCAACCGGCTTAAGTTTATGGTGCTTATTATTTTTGCTTTGTTTAATCCAAAAATCATGCAACTAACTTATTAATTTCAAACCTAACCACTTCTGGACTTTTCTAGCAAACTACCACAACTTGGTTCTGTAGGACATTCTGATATTTTTGCTTTGATAGTTTTAATTAAACTTTATTTTATAATTTCAAAATCAGCTTCCAGCCGCAGGATGATGAAGAAACCAGTCCCCACCAATGTTGTTTCAGCGATGATACCTCCAGTTGAATGAGCAGAAGCCTAGCTAGTGTTATGAAAAAAAAAAAACGTTTCACAAAAGTATGTTTCTTGCCACACAAGAGATATATAGAAATCGACACATGCATAAACAACGCCCGAGCCAATAGAATTCACTATTTCTCCTTAAGGAATTTAGTTCCCCTCTACGGTACCCAAGGTTATTGGAACTATTCCTCCCAGGATAGAACGAACGTACCTTTTCTGGCGTACCGGTACTTGAAACACCAGAATCCGACGAACGCAACGATCGGAGAGAAGTCACACGACTCTGTTTTCTTTATGAGTTTGTAGAGAGGAAATGCAATGAAGAATGAAAAATTATTTTATCTTTTGGCCAGAAAAATTTCTTGGGAAACTAACTTGTGTAGAAAACAGAGGGGGGTAGGTGTTTATTTATAGACAATGAAGGGGTGCGAGTGAAGGGATGTGACCCTTCAAGTGGGTGGTTACACCCCAACCATTGCAATGGTTCAGTGAAGGGATGTGACCCTTCAAGTGGGTGGTTACACCCCAACCATTGCATCGGTTCGCCATAGTAGTTGGACTGGTTGGTTCATTCCAACCGCCACATCGGTTCGGTCCGATTTGGTTCAACTTAGTTTAACCAATAAATCATCAACTATTGGCTTCTTCCCCTTTCCATTCTCATTCACACCTTTCAAATCCCAACAATCCCCCACACGAAAGAGAATGCTAAGTTTTGAAAACTATGCAAAAAACTGTGTGACTCTCAACTAAGAATTAGTTGTATTAGGATAGGTGGGTTTCCCTTTGAACCTTCCCTAGTGAACATATATCGAGTATACTCACCAATCGGTAGATATGATATCTTTGAACCGTCGGTTTTCTTGTATACTAAGACAACATATGTCACACAACCAACTCTTATCCGCTCGTTGGTTCTCATTGTTGTGTTTGTTTCAGCCATGAACACCGCCTGGTTTCATGAGTGCGTAGAGAATTGGCCTTCTTTTATTCTCCTTGAAGCGGCTCCACTTCACACTCACATAGGTGATTTCTAAACATGTATTCCGAAAATACACTATTTGATCACAACAAGTGTCAAACTTAGAAACCATTAAAAAACCTTTCATATTTAGGTTTACCCTTATCTTTTGGACATTGTCTCATCATGAGAATGGACTTTAAAAAATTTGACAATGTCGGACCATCATTCACAACTTTTTTTGCTCCTTGAACCTAGAGGTTGGGTCTGCCAATCCTACTTAGGTAGAGTTACCGCCATGATGATTTGTCCTAGGCCACAGTCCCATTCCCCTCGATGACTTCTCAACTAATGCTCTAGTTAGGCCTTTAGTTAACGGATCCGACACGTTATCTTTTGATCTTACATAATCAATCGAGATAACTCCACTAGAGATTGATTGCCTCACTGTGTTATGTCGTCGACGTATGTGACGAGACTTTCCATTATACATAACACTTTTTGCCCTTCCAATAACCGCTTGACTATCACAATGTATGCTTATTGGGGTTAACGGCTTGGGCCAAAACGGAACATCTTCCAAGAAGCTCCGAAGCCATTCCGCTTCTTCAAATGTCTTTGGCTCATCTTCCAACAAAAAGCTAAGAAGTCGGGACCGAATGACGTAGGCACCCTTTGACGTTTACTACGCCATGGCTCATCAATATTGGAATCATTTTCCAATGAATCATCCCGAGGTCGCTTGGAGCTTTCTCCAACGACTACATCCTTATTTCTATACGGAAATATGTTCTCAAAGAACTCTGCACTATCAGATTCTATAACCGTATTAGGATGGATGTCAGAGATTTGTGATTTATAGACCAAAAATCTATATGCTTTGCTATTATTGGCATAACCAATAAAGATGCAATCTATCGTTTTAGGTCCCAATTTGACCTGTTTCGGTTTTGGAACTCGAACCTTTGCCAAACACCCCCACACTTTGAAGTAATTCAAGTTTGGTCTTTTACCTTTCCATTTTTCATACGGAATGGTTTGCGTCTTACTGTACGGTACTCTATTGAGTATTTGTGTAGCAATAAGAATAGCTTCCCCCCACAAATTCTGAGGTAAAGCCGAATTTAGGAGTAAAGCATTCATCATGTCCTTCAAAGTTCTGTTCTTCCTTTCTGCAACTCCATTTTTTTGTGGGGTATATGGAGCCGATGTTTGGTGAATAATTCCATTTTCTAGACATATTTCTTCAAATGGAAATTCATATTCACCACCTCTATCACTTCTGGCCATTTTTATTTTCTTGTTGAGTTGGTTCTCAACTTCTGCTTTGAATTGTTTGAATGCATCAATCGCTTCATCTTTGCTACTTAGCAAATATACATAGCAATATCTAGTGCTATCGTCGATAAATGTTATGAAGTACTTTTTCCCACCTCGAGATGGTGTCGACTTCATGTCACAAATGTCAGTGTGAATCAAGTCCAATGGTTCAGAAGTTCTTTCAATCGACTTGTAGGGATGTTTCGCAAACTTTGATTCCACACATACTTGACATTTAGATTTATTGCATTCAAACTTGGGCAACACTTCCATGTTTATCATTTTCCGTAAGGATTTGTAATTCACATGTCCCAAACGGGCATGCCACAAATGATTTGACTCAAGTAAATACGCGGAAGAAGCGTTGTTATTATTAATAACATCGTTCACGGTAATTACATTGAGCTTGAAAAGGTCATTATTAAGATAACCTTTTCCTATATACACATCATTCTTGCTAATTACAACCTTATCGGAAACAAACACAACCTTGAATCCGTGCTTGGCAAGAAGCGAGGTAGACACCAAATTCTTGCGAATTTCCGGTACATGGAGGACGTTGTTGAGGGTCACAACCTTGCCCGATGTCATCTTCAAGACAATCTTTCCATATCCCTCGACCTTGGCCGTGGAGGAGTTTCCCATGAATAATTTCTCCTCCGCCTTAGCCAAAGAGTAGGAAGTGAACATCTCTTTGACTGCACAAACATGGCGGGTAGCGCCAGAGTCTATCCACCATTCTCTTGGATTCCCTACCAAGTTACATTCAGAAAGAACGGCACAAAGGTCATCCATATCCGTATCATCAACAATATTAGCTTGACTTTTGTTCTTCTTCTTCTTGTGGGTCTTGCACATCGAGGCTTTATGCCCTTGTTTCCCACACTTGAAACAAGTACCATTAATCTTCTTGTTACCATTGTGGTTCTTTGTGCCGGAAGAACTTGGAACAGAGTCTCTCTTCCTCTTCTTTCCCTTGGAGTCACTCTCCATAATGTTTGCACCAGAGATGGTTGATTGTCCACGACTCTTCTTCTCGGCCAACCTATCGTCCTCTTCAATCTTTAGACGGACAATTAGGTCCTCAAGCGTCATCTCCTTACGCTTGTGCTTTAGGTAACTCTTGAAGTCCTTCCATGCGGGAGGCAACTTCTCTATGAAGGAAGCAACTTGAAAAGCTTCGTTAATAATCATTCCTTCATTAAGAAGATCATGAGTAATTACCTGAAGCTCTTGGACTTGCGTCACAACGGCCTTGGAATCAACCATCTTATACTCCAAAAACTTAGCCGCAATGGATTTCTTCAATCCCGCATCCTCGGCCTTGTATTTCTTCTCTAGCGCCTCCCATAATTCCTTAGAGGTCTCTATGGTGCTATAGACATTGTACAAAATGTCATCTAGACCATTTAGAATATAATTCTTGCAAAGGAAGTCAGAATGTTTCCAAGCTTCAATTGCAAGAAATCTATCTTTCTCTGGCACTTCCTCGTTAGGATTTGGGATCACTTCTTTGATGAACTTTTGAAGTCCCAAAGTAGTGAGATAGAAATACATCTTTTGTTGCCAACGCTTGAAATCTACACCGGAAAACTTGCCGGGTTTCTCCGCCGGTGCAAGCGAGTGAGTAGCAACTTGAAGTGGAGTACTTTGAGTTGATGTTACCGGATTTGGGTTCTCCCCATTTATTGTAGAACCAGAAGACATCTTTGTTCTTCACTATTTCCTTTCTCTAGAAATAGAAACAACAACACGTATTAGTAATCACTAATACCCACGAGTAGAAAACCGAAGAGGTTTAAACTCGTCCGCAGTAGGAAATCACACTCTTTTTCAAAGAAAGAATAATTATACATGACCACAATATATATCAGAACAGAATTATATATAATCAGTATTGAAACAGTAGCAATTAAATACGATTGCAACACAACCCTACAAAGAACAGGGACTAAAAGACAGACATATACATCGAATCACAGAGATTAACAATAACCAACCCAGTTTTTCACACAATCATGTACGGTTGTTACAAATCTAATAAACCTTTAAATATAAGACCAATACACGACACAGAGCAAGTTATACTGAAAATATATATATACACCACAGAGAAACACGTATATAACCCTCAAGTAACAATTATATAGATATAACTATAACACCAGAAGCAGTTTATATATATTAACCAATGTAATTAAACTTTCAATAGAGTAACTGACCAGAATTTCTTCTTGATCACAAGCGAGATCAATTTTTCATGCATGGACACCAAGTTCAGATTCATATACGTCAACTTTGGGAAGAAACAGAACACGTGAATGAAAACAAAAATAAATTCCTTAAGATTGTTATGAAAAAAAAAACGTTTCACAAAAGTATGTTTCTTGCCACACAAGACATATATAGAAATCGACACATGCATAAACAACGCCCGAGCCAATAGAATTCACTATTTCTCCTTAAGGAATTTAGTTCCCCTCTACGGTACCCAAGGTTATTGGAACTATTCCTCCCAGTATAGAACGGACGTACCTTTTCTGGCGTACCGGTACTTGAAACACCAGAATCCGACGAACGCAACGATCGGAGAGAAGTCACACGATTCTGTTTTCTTTATGAGTTTGTAGAGAGGAAATGCAATGAAGAATGAAAAATTCTTTTATCTTTTGGCCAGAAAAATTTCTTGGGAAACTAACTTGTGTAGAAAACAGAGGGGGGTAGGTGTTTATTTATAGACAATGAAGGGGTGCGAGTGAAGGGATGTGACCCTTCAAGTGGGTGGTTACACCCCAACCATTGCATCGGTTCGCCATAATAGTTGGACCGGTTGGTTCATTCCAACCGCCACATCGGTTCAGCCCGATTTGGTTCAACTTGGTTTAACCAATAACTCACCAACTATTGGCTTCTTGCCCTTTCCATTCTCATTCACACCTTTCAAATCCCAACAGCTAGCACCACTGGATCAGTTTACTGCGGGTGCATTCGGCCAATTCGCTACTGGCATTGGCAACAGTTTTGATGCCGGTTTCTGTGTTGGGCACTGGAAAATTCTGCTCAAAGTATGCATTTAAAAGTTTGAACCTTTCTCCCCCTGGCTGATCATATATAATATAGATTGAGTTGAATCCTATAGTATAGTATGTGAAACAGAACCATTCATTGCCATAAATGATAGAATGATGGATGGCTTGTTGCATGTATGCTGCAGCCACATTCTCCAGACAATCGGGCCTTAGCGAGAGAGAGAGAGAATGCAGAGACGTGAGAATCGACAGGGTCTAATGAGAGAGGCCTGTATGAATCATATATCCATACCAAACCGTTTTACAATACAAATCGTTATATCTGCGACACAAATTTGGAATTTGGTTGTGGGAACTGGGAATTGAACAATTGGAATTTGGTTACCAAAACCACAGCTAGGATTAGTCCGTCGTCGGATAATAGAATTGTTTTAATATTCTGTTATCAGCTCAGAGCAGCGCAAAGCCACAGACTTTCTCACTTATTACTGATCGCCGAAGAGGAAAGGCGGTCAGAGACTCAGAGTCAGACTTGCGGTGCACACATGTACATGGGCGCTGGGTCGTGCTTAGGCCGGTACGGCGGTGGGCCTGCTTTGGGCCCATTTATTTCATATCGTGCTTGGCACGGCTTGTTAGTTTTCGTGTCGTGCCGTGCAAGCCCATTTGTTAACTTTGCTAGGCCCCGCCCAGGCCCGGGCACGGTTCGAATCGTACCGTGCCTATTCGTATTTGTGTTTAATGAAAAGGACGAAAACAAAAGAGAAAATGAAAAAAAGGTGAAAATTGGACGGAGGAAGATAGTATTAACCGATAATGTTTGAGAAAAGTAACAAATAGGGGGAAATTTTTTTTAGAAGTATAGCGAGTATGATTTTGGCTTTGTTTACTTCTTTGTCCATTTTTACTTGTGTTAGTAATTACGTATATATCTTTATGACACTTCTAACGACAAAAAATAATTATTTTCTACTTGTATTTTGTAATATTTGAACCTATAACTTTTTTATATTTATTTTCTATCAAATAAATATTATTTTCATGCCATGTCCGTTCTTATACTCAATAAAGTCTCGAAAATATTAGGCCCGACACGGCTCACTTATATACCGTGCCGTGTCCGTGCTCATGCCCGTATCCATGAAGTTTAGGCCCAATACGACTTATAAATTATTCGTGCTTGGGCTAACCCATTTATTTCGTGTCCGTGCTCATGTCGTGCCGCGGAACGGCCCGGTGCCTACGTCCATCAGCACACACTACTCCATTCAGCCGCCGCCATCCATTTTTCTCAGCAACCAAAACAGCTTTCTCCTCTTATTATTCCTTTCCTTTTTTGTGCAACCTCTTCGCTTTACAGTCTCCGGGAAAGCTTCAATCTTTCGGTTCGGAAACCGCGCCGCGGCCATGGCTTCTTCCACCATCGCCTCTCCTTCCACGTCCTTCATTCCCAACAAGGTATTGATTGATATTGCCTCCAATTTTTCTCTCTTAAGAAGAAGAATCCATAATTTATTTCTTAACACTATGTTTCCGAAGGAAAAGAGGAAAAGGAGGGTAGGTGAAGGAAAATTAGAAGGGGATGGGAGATTTGGAGGTGAAGAAAATTGGAAGGAAAATGTTGTTTTATGGAGGAAAGTGGGAAGGAAAGTGTGTATTGGGAAGTGTGATAAATATGTTATTTTATTGATTATGTAATAGTAAATATATATTTTATTTATTTAAAAACCGTGATTTAACCACAATTATTTAAAAAATAGAGATTTTATAATAATTGATCAAGCATTCTAAATATCCTACTTTCTCGGTATAGCCTCCGTCACGGTTTCGTAATCCTTGATATTACACTCAAATATATCAACACCCAATTAATAAAGAAACCTACTTAAGTATTAATTTAATTAATTTGAACAATGGAGACCATAAAAAAAACCTACTTAATCTAAACTTAGGTAGCGGAGCGATAGCGTCTAGCGTTTATTTTTCAAAAACTCAATATTAAGAGCATGAACATAGCATTAATATTATATTATTTTAATATATAAATAATAAATATATTCTTTTTATTATGAATAATGTTAATACCAAACGCTTCTACGTAGAATCGTGCTTTTGACCGCATTGAATTGACATTATCTTAGTTATGAGGATTAATACCGATTATTAAAAAAAATAACAAATTTTACTTATTCTTATCCTTATCTATAACCCACGACCATCTCCTTCTATTTTTTATTATGCTTCCTTTTCTCATTTTAACTAAACACAATAAATATCTTTGAAACCATTTTTAATTAATCTGGTTTTGGGTTTATGAAATGAAAGAATAGGATTTACATAATCTGGTTTGGGGAGTAACGGAACAGACTAGGAAGAGAGAGGGTGAAGTTGATTAATTAGTTTCAATTTTGAGAGAGAATGGAGTTGTGGTTTATGTGATGAAAAAAGAAAGCAAACAAAAGGCTGCTTCAGTTTCTGCCCAAATTGGAGGGTAGGGTGGAATAGTATTCTTTCCTTCCTTCGCAAACAGGGTGAAGTGCCTCGAAATTGGCATTTTTCTTTGCTACTTTTCCCTCCCTTCCTTTTCTTCCCTTCTTGAACATAGTGTAATGGTTTTGGGGGTTTTCCATTTAAACAGAAGAAATTGGGTCGCTCGGCTTTCTCCCCAGCATCGTCCCCTTTATCGGTTCCCAAATGTAGGAAATCGATAGCGAAGAAAGTTGTTTCGGTCATGGCGCCACAGCAGTCCGAGCGCATGCCGGCAACTACTGGCTCAGTTGGTGTCCTGTTCTCGTGTGCTTTCACTGTGATTCCTTCTAGCCATCGGTTCGATTCTGTTCATTTTGGCGGTGGGAAATTTTGATGCAGGTGAAGACTGCGATGACAATGACTGAGAAAATCTTGGCTAGGGCTTCTGAGAAGACCCATTTGAGTCCCGGTGAAAATGTTTTGGTAGACGTTGATATCTTGATGACTCATGATGTTTGTGGCCCTGGTTCTATTGGTATCTTCAAGAAAGAGTTTGGGCAGAATGCCAAGGTATGCGTCGTCTCACCTTTAGTTTTTTTTATGCTGTTTGTGTCTTTGTGTACATCATGTGATTCTAATATGGATTTGTTTTTGAGCCAATGCTTTTGTCTGGGGTTTGCTTGTGCACAAGTTAGATCAAGTGTCTGGTTTAAAATATCTGATAAGCATGGGCTCACTGTCTATCTGAACATTGAAGGTTTGGGACCGTGAAAAGATTGTGATCATTCCGGATCATTATATATTTACCAACGACGAACGTGCAAATAGGAATGTGGATATATTGAGGGACTTCTGCGCGGAGCAAAACATAAAGTACTTCTATCAGTTCTATGACATTCAGGATCGTGGTAATTTTAAGGTTGGTGTGAACAAGTGCAGGGATTCATTCTTCCTTCATTATAGTTCTTTTTATTAGCAGACTCCTTCCTTGTTTACCCATTCATTGTGAAGTTTGAGATATTGTTTGCAATTTTGCAGCCCCATTCCCCTGATAACCGAGCTTTAGCAACTAGATCGCTCTCAGATCTTTGAGGAAGTTGGATGCGACACACCTGCGAGTCCCAGCTGTGGCGCGTGCTTAGGAGGCCCTAAAGATACTTATGCACGAATGAACGAGCCTAAGGTAAGCAGACCTGAATTCGATCTCCTTCAGTTTCCTTCCATTTTCTCGTCTGGTTTTTCCACATTCTGTTTGACTGGTTCGACCACTTCTCCAGGTATGTGTCTCAACAATAAACAGGAACTTCCCTGGAAGGATGGGACACAAAGAAGGCGAGATATACCTAGCCTCTCCTTATACAGCAGCAGCTTCTGCTTTGACTGGATATGTTACTGATCCAAGGGACTTCTTGCAGTAAGATCGATCACAGTTTTAATCTGTTTTGGAACTCTTTGTTGTAACAAATTTCAAAAGTTGGAGATGGTATTTTCGGCGTATTGTTGTACTAGGGTTGATTAGCTCTCATGGATTTCGAAATCGATGAATTTTGAGAAGTTTGTAGATTTGGAAACAGCAGTAGATTTCTGAATTTACAGTTTGGTTATACTTTATAGACTTGTGTGATGGATTAATTTACCACCAGCCGGCGTGATGTGTGGGTTCTTCCCAGCAGTGCTGGTTCATTTTGTTACTCCAGAAACCTGCTGCATACTCTTCTTCAGTTCTAGAACTGTCAGACAGCATACTCCTGCGATCATACAATCTCGACATCTCTCACGTACTTTTCTCAACAACAACAAAGTCATCATCGTTATCTACTTGTTACGCTTTTCATGCATAATATATCGTAGAGTGCAGTTTTTGCGGCAGAAAATTTCTAAATACAAATCTTCCGGGCCGGGCCATCCATCTTCTCATATAAAAATGCACCATCAAAGAAAGATTCGTGTTTGTCGCGATTTACTCTAAAAAGAAGAAAATAGTAGGTAGCACCAATATTAATTAATTGCCACTCAAAAGTTGCAACACTAAATCGAACCAAGAAAATGTCATCGATGAGGCATAATAGCAGCAACACTAGGGTAGTGGTAGTGGCGTTGTTTCTCTTGTCGACGACACTGGGCATTTGCGACGGGAGTGCAATTGACCCAAGGAAGAAACCATCGGCGGTAACGGTGATCAATGAGGTGGAAGGAGGGCCGAAACTGATGGTTCATTGCAAGTCGAAGAACGATGATATCGGCGTCCACATCCTTCCGCCGCACCAGAACATCCGCTGGGGTTTCCGGCCAGACTTCTTTGGAAGGACGCTCTTCTTTTGCGCCATGGATTGGGGTGAAGGACTTCATTGGTTTCACATCTACGTCGAGAGCAGGGACTACGACAGGTGCAAAGATTGTCGCTGGCTGATCAAGAAAGGAGGGCCGTGTTTGACGAATCAGGAACGCGATTCTTGCCATTACTGGAACAAAAAAAGTATGTGGTAGTCTGGTAGAGAATCATAGGGAAAGAAAGAAAGAAAGAAGGTGGGAGCTAGTTCCGGTTTTTTTAGTATCTGTTGTTGCCATTTCTTTTTGTATATGTTTGATTCTAGTTTTAAGTGATTATGATTGAATTTGGTTGTTTTTTGTTTTGATTTATTATTATTAAATGTTGTTTTTCAATGTTAATTAGCAATCGTATTATAATTACTCTAGATTTTTTTTTTATCGGAACCTGTTACAACTTTTATTAGTCAGACATCACGGTTAATTACATCGTCCACTTTTAAGCTAATCAATAAGAAGAAAAAAGGTGGTCTATCTAGCTAGACCACATTCTCGTTCCAATAAGTCGTCTTCGAGTGAGCCATGACATGAGCAACTTTATTCCCGTCCTGTAAACATGGCACCAAGTTTCACAACCGCCATCTCCTGCGAGCATGGATCACGTACTCCGACTAACAACCCCGTATGTATAAAAACAATGTGCTCTGCTAGAATCTTCTGAACAAGGTCACAAGTGTAGCAAAGGGGCAGCCGAGCAGGAAGCTAAAGATCGTGGCCTCGAAGCTAAAGATCACGGCCGGGAACACAGTCCGCGAAGTCAAGTTAAAGATCGCGGTTGCAAGCTCAACATTGCGGTCGCGAATTGGAGGGCTCAGGGCGCGAAATTCGCGAATAAAGAGCCATGGAGAAACAAAATGTTTCCCCAGTCAAGTCACAGTCAAAGCACATTATGCCTGCGAGAAAGATCACGGCCGCGACTAGTGGATCGCGACCGCGAAGTCAGACCGTGATCTTCCCCTTTCAGAAGGCCATGACGACTGTGTTTTGAGATCGCGGTCTCTCCTCAGAAGATTCCGCCTGCGATCTCGTCACATAAGGTCGCAAATTCTCCGTCCACCAGAAGGCCTATAAATAGAAAACCCTTTCCTCTTTTTGATGAGCTGATTTTGAGAGAAATTTTTGTGGTTTTAGAGAGAGAGAGAAGATGAAGAAAGAAGAAAAAGGAGAAGGAGCTAGAAGAGAGGGAGCATCTTCCTCAACCCAAGTCTTCTTCAATTTCTTCTATGTTTCTTCTCCCCTCCTTTATGGAGTAGTTCTCCAAGGTACTAGGGGTTCTAAACCTCAAACCCTAGTTTTAGGGTTTATTATGTATGTGTGGATATTTTAGGGTTTGAATGATTGAATGAATGTGTTTATCTAGTTGATTTAATTGCTATTCTATCATGGATTGTATTTGTGGTAGGGATCCCCAATCTTCTCTATTAGCCTACTTTATGCTTCCGCGCTGGGTATGGTGTTCTAGGGTTAGACGGGTATGCGCCATAAATCAAAACGTGATAGATGTATGAATAGGGACCTAGGGTGGTCGAGGCGACCGAACCACTGCCGTAGGTTAGCCTTCCTAGATAAAACCTCGGTGTGGAAAATGGATAATGTCCATTGAAATGAGCCATATGCTTAATGCCCCAGATACGATAGCCTAGTCGAGGTGACTATATATTGGTTTAGGAGAGGCGTACCCGGAGGCGTGTGGATAACCACGAAATCCCACGGAAAAGAGCTCACTCGCCACATTCGATAACCCTACATATCTTACATGCATAGTAACCCTAAGCTAGGGGAGGAATAGTTCCCCGAAGTACCTGCTTTTAGCTTTGATCAATCTCTAGTCTAGTTATCTCCTCAAATCTTCCACTCAAACCTCCAAAATCGATTAACTAATCAGTAACTAGGTGGGAAGTAAGCTGGGGTACCAGGACCCGAGTAAAATACGAACTTGATTACCACTATACGACAATACCATCTTAGATTAAACTTGGTTTAAGATGGAGTAGTTGTTGACACGTGCTAACCATTGACAATAATCTGCATGGATCGAAGTGATCAAGCTTTTTGGCGTCGTTGCCGGGGATCCTTGGTAACTATTAGAAAATCATTAAGTTGTTAGTTAGTCTTTATCTTGTTTTGTTTGTTTTATTTTGCTCTCTTGTTTCTGTTTTTGTTATTTCTTGTTTGTTTCTTTTTGTGCTTTGTTTTTCACCCACTTTTTTCCCCGAAGGGTTGTTTGTGTATGTTTGATTCTCTTTTTAGTGTTTTTGCTTGTGTAGAAGTTGTTGAATCATGGATCCTTATGACTTCACCAAAGTGTGGGGGTATTCACCAACACCCGAGGGTGGTTACCCGGAAGCTTCGTGGAACGATCAAAATGGTGGAAGTCAAGGATTCAGATTCTAGTACCAACCCCCTTCCAATATGAACAACCATACCAATGGGGATATCAAAAAGCTTCCCCATATCAAGAAGATTTCTATACACAAACCGAGGAGAAATCCAAGTTGGAGTTGGAAATGGAAGCTTTCATGGGACATACCTCAAGACCATGCGCCACTCCGCAACCGGAGCCAAGAAGCGAATTGGAACTCTTAGTCGACATTTCAAAATTCCAAATTTCACTTATTGCAAACAACCCTACACCCAAAGTCTCAAATGTGTCAAAGATCTAGAACCCAAAGATTTAGCATTTAATCAAATGAATATCAACGTATGTTTGACTATCAATGACATACATGACACTAATCTATTGTCAATATAAGTGCCACATCATGGCCACATATGCTGATAATACCATAATTTTTTTTTGTAATTTCAGAAACACAAAAACACTCCTCTTAGTTAGCCCCTTGGTAGTCTTGGATTGTCACACTCACACATTCGAAAGATACTTGAAAGAACAAGTAAATAAAGAGTATTAAATCAGAAGACTCACAATTCACAAGTGCTGAAAATGGATAGCATAGAATGATCATAGCTAGCAATAAAGTATATAAACATAATATGATGAATAAATGCTAAATAAGTATATAAACATGATGAATAAATGCTAAAATATCATGTATGGTAATTTCATCCATAGAACTTTTATCAAACAGAACAGGCACAATGAAGAACTACATTCGATCACTGTAGAGCATACCAATTATTTGTCGAGCGAAAACAATTCAGCAGCTAAAAAAGAATGTTCCACAATTAGGATTTCAAGGTGAAAGAAAGTTTATTTAATAGTTTTTTATCCCTATATTTGCGAATTTTTTCGGCAATCTCTGGCGCCAATTTACCTTCCATCACTTTCTCTCCGGTCTAGTTATTCCGCAACTTGTAGATTCGTTAGTATATACTAACTAATATCCAAAATGTATGAACTAATATCCCAGTCTGCTAAGTATCTAGATAGCACATACTAGTATTCAAAACATCACAAACTAGTATCCAGATAGCAGATGCCAACTAATATCCAAAATCAACCAACTAGTATTCAATGTGAATACTCTTATGGGTTATCTGGATACTAATTATGTGCTGTTTGGATACTATTCTGTGTTGTCTAGATATTAGTTTATGAATTTGGAATAATAGTTGATTCATTGTGGATATCAGTTAGCAAACTTTGAATACTAGTCTGTGCTCTCTAGATACTTTAGTACTTGGATATTAGTTCATATATTTTGGATATCAGTTAGTATCTGCTAACGAATCTTCAAGTTAGCAGATTAACTTCTCCCCTTTCTCTCCCCTAGAATTTCGGATTAATATTTCATCAAAATAGTTTCCAATTAGGAGATCTGGATTTTCTTTCTCAACCATATATTCTAATTACCGTCTAAATAAATAAGATGGTAAATGCTTATGGGATGGAATTTTTTTTATAACGGGTGGTAAATTTTATATTTGGACAGAATATTCCTCACGAGCCAAAAAGATTCATAACCCAATTTTGCTTTGGAATGTTGTAGAAATTATATATCATATCGCCTAATTTATTCACTGCTTAACTTGAAGGCCCTTTTAGATGAAGTATTCGTTAACAAATAGATCAAAGTTACTAACCACATTATTTTAAAAGACTTTTACCGTTTTACTTAGTGTGTGATTTTTACTTCTTTGATAGAGGTATCTTCTATTTACCACTCTTCGAATAAGTGTGGATGAAATATTTTCGATCCACAATCCACCCACATTCACATCAATCATCTACCTGATTTGTTTGGGTTATTAGCGGATGGGTCGATATGAAACCGCGTATTAAATAGAGAACAATGTTAGGAAAACCCATAATGTAGGTTGAGATCACATAATATACTAATTGAGAAGCAAGTCGGGAACATATGTGGGCTGTGAATAAAATTTCATTTTTATAGGAGTAGGTGCTTTCTGGGTCCAGGCACACTTCATTCGAAACTAATGAATGTCCTATAAAGGGACTTAGTTCGACTGAAAGGAGAGGAACGAAGCATTCAATCCTTTTGTCTAACGAAAACTCTTACATACTCCTATGTGAAAGATATACGCTTTGGGTTAGGTAAACCCTTTTTTCCTTCTCCTTCTCCTCCATAAACATCATGATCTAGTTCTCGCTCACTATTAAATTAAAGACTCATTTGCTATCATGTAAGAAAATGCTAAAATCTATCATACTCAGGATGAATAAAATGTTAAGATTGATTTATAATGACAAAAATACTAAGGCACCACACACAAGAATTGATAACCCTATAATAATTTATAATTCTCAAAGTACTTGTAAGTAATGATCTTCATATAACGACTTTTTGTTGCGAGTAAATGAGTAACTACTCTATAAGTTTAGATGCAAGTTAATTGGGTTACAATTGTGTTAAATTGGAACAAGAATCTTGAGAAATGATCATTTACTCTGTTATGTGTCTTTGTGTTATTCATGATTTACCTTATAAATATTATTTTGTGTTTGTTTCTGCATGGACTTTAAAACTCAACAATTTTACAATTCGATTTTACGATTAGAATTTTACCCAAGTTTTCGATCTTACTTAAAATCCTGATTTCACTGCTTTAAGTACGGGAACATAATTTTTGAACATGGTCCGTTAGTAAACAAGTGTCAACCATATGTTCATTAGCTAGTAAAGTACTACGAATCATTACACGGGTATACGAGCATCCATTGACTCAACCCATGTTCTTGTGGTGAGCGGGCTTGATTGGCTAGTTATATATAGATGTATGAATATGGAAAAAAATTGGAAGTATTTGAAAGATAAATTAGACAATTAAAAAAAAGAAAGAGATAAAGTTGATTGATAATTAGGAAGGAAAGATAAATTTAAAAGTAGAAGAAAATTTTCCTCCATCCTTGAATTACCTAACTAAGTCTTACGATTATGAATTAAATTGTTCAAGATCTGCCGTGATACTTGGCAAGGAAAGTTTGACCTAAACACTTAATATAAACCCCCCTAAGAACAAAACCCTTAATCTTTTATTCTACCACTTTCACGAAATCAGACTCTGCATCCCTTCCTTTCTCTCTTCTCCAGCCGCCTGCAATTGCAAATATTAACTGAGGACTCCCACTAACTCATCATCCTTAACTTTTTGCTCGACTCTTGGTCGTAGCTACAAGGTACGCTGCGCAATTAATTGATTTTCGATTTCTCCTATTTCCACACGTTAGGTTGATGATTTGACTCAATGTATATGTTCTTTATTTTCTTGACAGCATTGACGCCCTCTACTTATACCACATATCAGAGAAAAGGAAGGAAAAGACCACTTGAGATGAGACCCCTTCCAGTCTCTTGATACTGAAGATGAATACGATTATGATGAAACACAGATGCATGTAGAGAAACTTGTCACAGTTATCATATATGTATTTTGATTTCTTGTCACTAAAGAAGCTCGTTAGTCATCCAACCGTTATAATTGTGATGAGACATGTTCTCGATGTTCATAGTAGAAGTGTCGACAATTCTTGTCACCGAAAAGATTGTTTTAGCAACTTGCGCTTTTCGTGTCGTCAACCCTTGTCACAAAAGACAATCGAAAAGATAATTTGATTATCACAAAAGAAAATGTTTGTGATATCTCAATTTATCACCAATACTGCTTTTGAGTGCTTACCAAAGTTGTCGCCAAATATATCATTTTGCAACGAAATGCTGGTCATAAACGACTGCAATTTCTGGCACTTCATCTCGATGTTGTTTTGTGACAAAAAACTTGTCACAAACTGATTCTTTTGTGAAAATTATATAGTCATTAAAGTTTATTGTGAGTGACAATCCAAATAGGTGACACATGTGACATCAGAATTCATCACAAATAGTGACTTTAGTAACAACCAACCCGACCCTGAGATCATACCTTAAAATTCAATATGTGTTTTTGTGACAAATTATGGGCACACATGATAACTATTTGTGACAATTAGACATGTTACGATGGTAGTTTTTCGTGTCTGCACTACCTCGTCACAAAATGTTTTTTTATTGACAATAATATTGTCACTCAAGTATTAATATCTGTTACGAATAACATTGTCACAATTAGGTTAGTTATTTGTGACGATTTAGACTCGTCACAGATAAAATTTTAAATGTTGCCAAAACATAAAAATTTTGTTGCCTATGTTTCTAAAAACATGTTGCAAAAATTGTGAAATATGTTGCCTAAAGTGGTGTTGCGTAAGAGGCGGGGATATGCAACCCTTTTTATTTGGGTTGCGTAAAATGAAAAAACAGTTGCCTATTATTTTTGCAACCCCCACTATATGCAACCCTGCCAAAAGTGTTGCATTAGGATTTCGTAACTGTTTTAAGACATTGTGCAACACATTTGTGGGAGTTGCTAGATCATAGATAGATCCAAGATGGGAAAAAATTAGAGGTTTATTTTCCCAACACAGGGACAGAGGTTGTTGGTAAGAATGCTCGGCACTTAGTTAGTTTCTGTGGGGTTCTAAAAAAAACATGCTAAGTTGAGTGCCACGAATTGGGATGAGGTTGAAGAAACAATTGGTGATAAATTGTGCTCCTTAAAGGAGGTACGATCAATCATTTTCACACTTTTCATTTTTTGTTAATATTTTGCATATTGAACTATTCTTAAAAATCTTATACTCTTGAGTTACTTTGTTTGTAGGAGAAATTCAAGAGCAGTTGCAGTGAGAAGTTAAGATCTTTTATATTTAAGAAAATGAAAAAAATCATATTCAACTACGTTGTACAACTTACGCAAGAAATATCAAGATATGGATCAAAATGAAAGGGAAAGTTATGTTCCTGATAGCATTGATAAAGAAGATTGGAAGCAAGTTGTTGTCAATTGGGGATCGGAGCTTTTCAAAGTAAGTGCACATTTTAATCCTTAATTTTTTTCCCTTCTAAGTCTTTCAGAATTTGTTTATTTGAATTTATTATTAATCCTAAAATGTGAGCTATACAGAAAAAGAGTGTGAGAGATAAGAAGAATAGATCTTAGGTGAAAGTGAAGAATGTGTGTGGATCAAGATCTCATGATGAATTTGAATTTAATATGGTAATGATCTTCTAGTTTTAACTTCTAAATTTATTTTATTTTTGTTACCTCATATCACATTTTTTGTTTTGTTAACACTCTTTAAGTTGAATAATGAAATCGAAATCATAGATAGATCCAAAAACTGGAATTAAGAAGTATGTTGATGAAGTGTGGCGTGCTCAACATATGAAGAAGAATGAAGAAGGAGAGATGATATGGTGCGATGAGGCATCAAAAGCAATTTACGTAAGTAAACTTTCAAAGACTTTTTCAATGCCTTACATTTATATACACTTCATTATGAAATCATAAAATAGAATAATTTCTTCTTTTTTTTTACAGGAAAGAATAAAAGAGATAGTCAATCAAGGAACTTTTTTTATCTAACAAAGAGATCATACTTAAAGCCAAGGGCAAGTCCTCGTCTCGACGTGTTAGACGGGAGAAAATTGTTGTGGTTGGGGAAGAAGTTAGAGCTAGGATAAGAAATGAGATCTATTCAGAGTTAAACCAACAGTTTGAGGCCCGGCTAGCAGAGTAGAACAAGAAATGGGAACAAAGGTTTGCTGACCTGCAAAAGCAACATGATGAAGACATGATGCAACTGTTGCGTCCGAGAAAAGTAGGATGATTTATAAAGATCAACAACCTCTCATTAGTGTTAGATTTGTGGTTTTGATTGATTTCAAATACTATTTAGAATTATTAGTAGCCAAATTTGAGTTTAAGACTTTTTCCCCTATTATCTAGTGAATTTGATTTTTTTATTTATTTTGGTGACCATTCTTGTCACAAAATATGATTTTTTTTCAACGTACATCATCACATTATCGTATAACTTGACACCAATGACTATATTCGTATTTTAATTTCTTGTCACTAAAGAAGCTCGTTAGTCGTCAAACCATTAAATTTGTGGCGAAACATGTTCTCACAATTAATAGAAGTGACAACACATCTTCTCACTGAATAGAGTGTTGTAGCAATATGTGTCCTAAAATCTTGTCACAAAATGCACTCATGTAGGACATACGTTATCGTCATTTTTGGGGTATACTCGTGTCATCAACTCTTGTCACAAAAAAAGGCTGAAAAGATAATTTTATTGTCAAAATAGAAATACATTCGTGATAACTCAGTGATGCATCACCATTGCTTTATTAGTGACTAGCAAAGTTGTCACAAACGCTAACCTTTTGCGATGAAAGGTTGGTCACCAATGGCGGACCCAAGATTTTAGCATAGGTGTGCAACCTAATGGACAAATGTAATTTACGAAATTTGTTAGAATATGAAAACTCGTCGTGGTTCACTGTAAAAAATAATGAAATTGGTGAACTTTATGAATAAAAGTTTTATGTTTATTTTAAATTATTTTAATTAATTAAATATTTTTAAAATTATTTTATTAGCCGACACACCTATGCTAAAATCTTGGGTCCGCCACTGGAATGGGATTTGCGAAGTTCGTGCTGTCAATTTATCACTAATGCTGCTTTGAGTGATTAGTAAAGTTGTCACCAAATATATCCTTTTGCAACAAAATATTGGTCACAATTGACATCATTTTGTGCTACGTAAGGTGTTTTCGTGATAACAAAAAATGTCACAAATTGATTCTTTTGTGAAAGTTAGATAATCACAAAAGTATATTGTGAGTGACGATCGAAATTTGTCACACATGAGGGATATACGTGACAGTAAATTACGTCACAAATAGTTACTTTAATGACAACCAACTCAACCCCTAAATCTTACCTTGAATTTCAAAATGTGTATTTGTGACAACATTATGGTCACAATTGTAACTATTCGTGACAAGTAGACATGTCACAAGAGTAGTTTTCGGGACTAGACTGCCTCGTCACAAAAAGAATTTTTATTAACGATAAGATTGTCACGCAAGTTCTTATTTTTGTTACGAAGAATGTTGTCACAACTGAGTTAGTTATTCATGAAGGTTTAGACCCGTCACGGATACAAATATTACTGTTGCCAAAAGTTTAAAAAACCGTTGCCCATTTTACAAAAATGTGTTGCAAAAATTGTGAAATGTGTTGCCTAAAGTGATGTTGCGTAAGAGGTAAGAATATGCGACCCTTTATATTTGGGTTGCGAAAAATAAAAAAGCAGTTGCTTATTCCTTTTGCAACCCTACCAAAAGTGTTGCGATAGGTTTTCGCAACTCTTTTAATACGGGTTAATTGCAAGGTTGGTCACTGAGTTTATTAAAAACATTCATGTTTGGTCACTGCAAATATTTAATTTCATTCATGGTCACTAAGATTAGTTCAATAGTTCAAATTTGGTCACTCTCCGTTAGTCTCCGTTAGTTTTTGCTGATGTGACAATCAACTATTATAGTTGACCGTTAAATGAGTGACGTGACCATTAAAAAATATTAAAATAATAAAATTTAAACATTTACAATTTCCACATCATTTTACAACTATTAAAAAAAACTTACCCGACAAAACTGATCCGATCGATGAGATTCACTACCGTCACTTCCCGACGAAACTGACCCTTGTCGTCGTCAGTCCCGATAATAATTTCCGCCGTCAGGGGCCTGCGCAGAATTAGAGGGAATCCAAGATATTTTATAAAAATTCATTAAAATCCCAGTGCTCAATTCATCCAATCCTAATCAATATCTGATTCTTCGAAAAAGTCATTTGATTCCCAATGATTTCGTCAGTTATGGAGATTAATCGTCGTCCCCTCTTCTTCTCCTCCTTCCTCAGCAACTTCCTGCCCAACCCAAAAGACTTAATTGTTCCCCTGAGAATTTTCAAAGTCAGCATTTGATTCCGCCATGGAAACGACCTGACCAAGCTCGTCATTGAAAGTTATAAAACAACACTCCTTTTTCCCAAAATCCCCTGTTTCCCAATTTCACCGGAGATGGGGAAACCGATCATCGAAAACAAGGTACTGTACTACCCTGTAAAGCCTCTAGCTTTCTTCTCCGTAATCTTCATCCTCACCGTCTACCTCGTCCGCACAAGCAAGATCACCACCACCGCCGTCCCTCTCCCTTCCTCCGAACCCCACCGCCGCCGCCGCAGAATCATCAAGTCGTCGTCGTCGTTTGACGAAGATTCCGGTCAATACCCAGAAACCTACCTAGTCCCTCCGACGAACCTCACAACACAAGAAAGAATCCACTGGTTCATAGCCAACCTCCCTGCATTCCAGATCATGAAATCGGACAACCTGCCGAGCAGGTTCCACAATCGAGCCCGCCGGTTCCTCCTCCGAAACCAATGCGAGCTCCGGTTCTTCATGACGTGGATTTCCCCTGCCAGTTCTTTCGGAAACAGAGAGTTTCTAGCAATGGAGTCCCTGTTCAAGTCCCTGCTCGGAGTCCCTGTTCAAGTCGAATTATGGAGAGTTGAATTGGAGAAGAAGGCACAAGATAGCGATGGGGACGGCGAAAGGGATTGAGTATCTCCACAAGGGATTCCAAAGAAGAATCATTCACCGGGACATCAAATCATCTAATGTCCTATTGACGGAAGATTATGAGCCCATGGTATGTTCCTTTTATTTTTTCTTCTTCTTCTTCCCTTCACAAATTTGTTGCTCTGTTTATCCGTCTCTCACCGGTTTCAATTCAAATTGCAGATATCGGATTTCGGGTTGGCGAAATGGCTGCCAACGCAATGGTCTCACCATTCAATCGGACCCATTGTAGGAAATAAAGAAATTATGTTTTTTTATTTTTTAATGAATGTAATAATGAAGTGGAAAATATAAAAAAAAAATTTAATAATTTTTTAGTTGCCACGTCACTAAGTTAACGGTCAACTTTTAGAGTTGACTGCCACATCAGCAAAAGTTAACGGAGTTGGACGGAGAGTGACCAAACATGAACGGTTTCAGTAAACTGAAGTACCACCAATGGATTTAAATATTTCGAGTGACCAAACTTGAACGTTTTTTGTAATCTCAGTGACCAACCATGCAATTAACCCCTTTTAATACATAACGCAACACATTTGTGGGAGTCGCAAGATACAAATATCAAATATCTCGTTGCAATGTCATAGAGCAGTAACGAGATATTTGTCTTATGCACTTATATATAGAGCTCGGTCATAATCTTGCAAATCATCATCCTCACGTGCTAGCCTGCTAGGTGTACTTAGTAATTTCTCGACAAGCGGACAAAGTTTTTTTTGTTGGTGGGATAGAGTTAATTAGTGATACTAATCAGATTGTTTGGTTTGGTGTGATTAAGTAGCGGCAAGCTAAGTGAGCGTCAGAATTATATTATTGAGGACGGTTTTGTGGGATTGAAATGGTTGAATTAGCATGTGATTAATATTGTTATTGTTAGTGTTGTGGTATATGATTCACTATTGAACCTCTTCCAACAACTCGAGTTATTGGGATCAACTGGTTCTTGACATGGTATCAGAGATTTATGTGACCGAGAGGTCTTGCGTTTGATTCCCGGTGACCCCCATTTGTTAAGCACATGGTATTCTTGTCTTCAGACATGTGCAAACTTACAGCCCTTGTGAGTGGCTTTCGTTTGAGGGGGCGTGTTAGTGTTGTGGTATATGATCCACGATTGAACCTCTCCCAACAACTCGAGTTATTGGGATCAACTAGTTCTAAATAGTTCTGAAGTAGTGGATGATAATATTTTTAGAGATTATTTCCCAATCAACAAATAAAATTCCTCAAATACCCATGTTTTACATATGTTGATTACCCCGATTACTCGAGTATTAAGGGATATTTTAGGGAAAAGTCCATTTTTTAGCCTGTTAATCAAACACAGATATTCAGGATAAAATTTGCATCTTCTGATAGTCGATATAATGCCCCAGTTTTTGGTTTGGGGCCAACCACAAATTTGGTTGGGTATGCAATGAGGCTATATATAGTTAGGAAAAGATTTCCAACATTGCGTGCGTGGTTGACCATCGTGAAGCTCGAAGGACTTAAGTTGTTCCAAACTGGATTTGGACTTTTCTGGAATTCGTCTAAGTATTGGTCTAATAATATGTGGGATAGAAGTGTTGGGTGATAAAAGACTATAATAATAGTGGACGATCGATCTTTGATCACCTGGAAAATTATATATGTCGTACTTAGATAGGTTGTCGCACGACGTTATAAACTAAGAAGCGCGTACACTGCAACACATTGGAAGATTATATATTAGTGCGCGACCTTTGATTAATTGGGCAATTCGACAAAGACCGCGAGAGATATTAGAGTGATGAGTAGATACGATCGATCGATCTTTGAGTCGGCCGCTAACAAGTGGGCTGGCGATATATATATATATATACGGGTTGGGCTTAAACCCTTGCAAATGAAGTAGTGATTGTGTGCTTGGATGTTACCACTACGGGAAAAAGGTGTTCTTGCAACACTTGGATTGCAACACTATTTGAAAGTGTTGCGTTAACTATATAATGACAACACTTTATTTTTAGGTTGCGTATTGGATGGTTTACGCAACTTAAATTGGTTATATGTTGCATTTGCTCTATTATACGCAACACTCATATCATCAACTATTTATTGGTTGTCTATTTATATAGTTTTAGGCAACATTTTAACCTAATGGGTTGCAAAAAATTCACTTAACAATTCGTATTTTTATTATTCTTTATATATAAATATCTTGCTAATATAAAAAAACTAAAAAGTGATAAATCCCATAGATAGGAAAGCAGAAGATCCTATGTGATTACGTTTTCCTTTATCTCTTAATTACCTAATACATTTGTTTCCTTATACAGGTAAAGCAATTAAGCACGTCCCTTCCTATTCTTCTTCTAATTGATATTATACATGCTCTCGTCTTTTCTTTCCCACGCCGCCAAAGGAAGAAACCCTCGCCAATTACAAAAGTGAAAAAAGCCTTTGTCTTTCAGTCTACCACCATAAGGAAAACCCAATCAGCCTCCCTTCCTCTTCTCTTTTGTGGATCCCAACGGATCTACGAGGAATCCCAATCGGCCATCTCACCGATCGACAAGCTCATCGCACCAACCTGTGTCTCTCCTCTTGTATGATCCCCAGGGTACAATGATTCATCAATTGATTTCTCTCTTCTCACGTTCTGGTATATATGTCTAGATTAATACAATTTTTTGGTTTTGATTTGAAGCCCTCAGTAATAGGTATGTCACGTCAACAATATAAGGTAATTAATAAGTAATAACCCCCTCCTTACAGTAGTATGATTACCACTTACCAGTATGGTTCTTTCTATTTGATATCCTGTAAGACAACTATTGAACATTTATGTTTGACCTGCTGAAAATGAAAATGATTGCAGGTACTCAAGGTATCAGATGATAAGATTGAGAGAATGGTGAGGAAGGATTCAAGAGAACCGGGGGAGAAGTTTGGCTCATTGCAGCAAAGGAGGGATCCCATGAATACAAGGATATTGAGTAACAAGAAATGGATATAATATGTATCTAACCTTGAAGTAAAGCCTTTGATAGAACCTGTTACCAATGTTTAGTATTGTTAGTAGCAAGATTGGAGTTTAATAATAATATTTTCTGATATGCCATGTTGTCACCGTTGATTTTTTTTTTCGTGATGAATTTTTTTCACAAAATGTTTTTGTTATGACCAACTAAAATCATCAAATATAAATGTTGCATACGTGACAATAAGATTCATCACTAATAGTAACTTTAGTGATAATCGACCCGACCCCTATACCATAGCTTCAATCTGGTTAAGTGTATTTGTAACATAACTTTGGTCACAAATTACAATTATTTGTGACAATTAAACATGTCAATATTGTAGTTTTTGTGTGGACACTAACTTGTCACCAAAACGATCTATATTAACGACAATATGGTCATGAATGTATTAGCATGTGTTACGAACAAAATTGTCACTGTTGAATTTATCGTTTATGACGATTTAGACTCGTCATGGATAAAATTTTGATGTTGCAAAAACTTATAGAAAATGTTACCTATATTTCTAAAACTTGTTGCAAAAATTATAAAATGTGTTGCCTATAATGGTGTTGCGTAAGGGGTAAGTATATGCAACCCTTTTTATTTTGGTTACGAAAAATGAAAAAACAGTTGCATATTCCTTTTGCAACCCCCACTATATGCAACCCTAACAAAAGTGTTGCGTTAGGATTTTGTAACTCTTTTTTTACTTTCTGCAACACATTTATGAGGGTTGCGAGAAGCCATTTTTTACTTTCTGTTACCAAGCTATTTGTATACAAATTAATGTTAGTTGTGTTTCTACGTACGTAGCCTAGCCGGTAGCGCGCCTTTTTCGTCTCACCGCCCCGAAATTTCAAATAAAACGAAAGCAAGTGGTCCATGCATGCATACGTGATCGTGTGCACGTACTATATAAATATATATGCATGCTGATATAAATCAATATGATCTGGTGTACTATATATGTGATTTTCACGCCTTGTAAAACACTAGTTCAAAAGAGATCCATGACGTATGTAATTATGTACGTTTTGTGGGTTTAGGATGGTGAGTAACCACCTAAGGACCGTAGATCTGGGCCGGGCTGATCTTGTGGCTGTGATTGATGCGGTGATGGTCAGGAGCATTTTTGTCCGATATTTGAATTAATGACTTCCCCCTTTAGTCCGTTGCGAATCTTTCTGTGCGCGAGTTGGATTGGGTTTTTGGAGAGAGAAACTGCGAGCAGCAGTTGAGAAACAGGGACGGCGAATCTTTTCTGATTTTTTCCTGTTTAGCTAATCGAATCGAGCTTTCTGATTCTCCATAATTAATCGACGGCGAGAACTTAGGTGGATTACCTAAATCGACAGCGAGGTTAGATATTAGTTTTTCTGATTCTTCCTGTTTAGCTAATCGAGCTTTCTGTTGATATTTGGTTTCGTTGAGCGTTCTGTCAATCTCTGGTTTCGTTGTAGGTTTTTCATTGCGATAATTGCTAGTCGAGCTTGTTCATGTTTAGCTAATCGAGCGTGTTTGAGTTTCTCTGGTTTCGTTGTAGGTTTTGTAGAATTTACTTTCTCTGAGTTTCTTTGTGTGTTCTGTTTAGCTAATCGAGCTTGATCATGTTTATGTTCTTTGTGTTTTGGTGTTTTTGCAGTATTCTGGTGAGATGAGTTACGTAAATTGTGGCGATGTTGTTCCATTTGATAGATCTGGTTCTTCAACCAGCGTTGTAGGATCTGGTTCTTCATCTAGCGTTGTTGGAACTGCTTCTTCATCTATCGATCTTGGATTTGGTCATTCAGCTAACTCTAGTGAATCAGGAGGTAAGATATACAAATTTGTTTGTTTATTGAAGTTTGAATGTGTTAGATACCATATGGTACCATGGTGGTAATTACTGGTATACGATGAGAGGTGATACTATAGTGTTGTGTTGTGATGTTATTGTGCTCTGTATTTAAGTTTTATCATATCATACCATGGTGGTAATTACTTGTACCATGGTTGTAATCATTGGTATATGCTGAGATGTGATTCTGTTTTGGTGTGGAATTAATTTTGACATATCTTACCATGGTGGTAACTATTGGTATATGAGGAGATGTGATTCTGTTGTGGTGTGGAATTCATTTTACCATATCATACCATGGTGGTAATTACTTGTATCATGGTTGTAATCATTGGTATATGCTGAGATGTGATTCTGTTGTGGCGTGGAATTCATTTTGCCATATCATACCATGGTGGTAATTGTTGTATCATGGTTGTAATTTTGT